CAGAATGAATAGCGGGGTATGTAAACATAAATTTTGCGAGCTCACTCTCGGTGGTGTGATGGCAGCACCCTCCCTATAAAGAGGATTGGGGGGAGGACCCTCCTGGCACATTGTGTTATCATCAGCAGAATATTCTATGCATGCACAAATGTTGCCGTTGTCATTGAATCAACCGGGAGTATGAAGTGCCGGGTCTTCAAAAACTGGGAAACCCGGGTAGAACTGGAGTGGGAAAAGGGGAACTGGTACTGGGTACTGGTTACTTGTTACTGAGAGTCCTGGTCATGGACTGCTGCCTGCCGCCCGATGAGTGACTTCCCAGCTTCCAGGGGCGCCGCTCATTCATTGTCTGCCGGGGCATGATGAAGCACCGCTCAGCCAGCCCATATATTTCACCAAGGAAGGGAGGGATGGGGACTGGGGACTGGGGTTCCTCCGTTGCTCCTCCGTATGATTAGCGTTTCTGACTTGGCCAGAACTCGGTGCTAAGGGGCTAACAGGGATTACATGGGGCTTTTCGTAACTATTTGGAACCCTATTAGCTCGGAAATTATGCTGTTCCCTCACCCTAAAACTGTAAGCGTTTCTCTATGACCTTACTTTCGGAAGGGAATTTTAATTTCCTTTATGGTAGCTACTATTTCAACTGGATTTTTGTCTATTGCATATTTAATACTGTTGGGTTTCAGAATCCGCTTAAGGGTTTTGGTTCATTTTTACTTGGCCTCTTCAAAATATCAGCTTTAAAACATACTTATATTTGGCACCATGTGTATAAAATAAGTTAGAAACTTTCTAACTTAGTTTTCTTCAAGTTCTCTTTGTTTATCAAATATTTTTGCTTTTTCCGCTCGACGGTAGACCTCATTTAATTCCCTTTGTGCCCAGGTGACGGGCCTTAAGTCCAATTAGAAAATTCAATTTCAATTTGGATTTGTTCTGCCATCGTTTGGGGGACACTAATCCAATTATGCAGTCAACCATTTCATTGTCGCCCAGTATAATTATGGCCAACAGCTATTGGCCAATATTAGCAAGGATGTATATATGTGTAAGTGAGCTTTGAACCATTTCCTTTTACGTCATTTTGACCACGCTATTTCTAAATTTGAAAGAGCCTAATCATCTTTTATGCTCCGCTGGGTGGGACACACACAGAGAAAACCAAGAAAGAAAATCACCCTCACCTATTGAAAGTCGACATTTCTAATGACGGGCAGACCTACCCAATATACCACCCATCGCTTGACCCTGGAAAACCAGGCAAAAAAGGAAAGCAAAGAATTTCCCAAATAAAAAATTGGGGCGCAGCCGTTACATGTCTCGCAGCTACACACGCATACATAGAGATGAGGCTCATTTAAATAAAAGAAAATATTTTTTTTTTTGTCCTGCCGCTTTTTGTCCTTTGAAGACATTCGAGCCTCTTAAGACGGGGAACTTGCGGCCAGCGCCGTCTTTTATTTCGTTTTGTTTTTTAGTGGCGGATATTTGAATATAAATGGGGCATTTAGTTAGACTCTATCAAGCTCATTCCCATATATCTTTGGCAGCTTTCGGTTCGTTTTAACTCGCCCCCCGAAGATTCAATTCCAATTCGAGTCCGAGTTGGCCTTTTATCATTCGATAGTTTCGAGTTTTTTTGCGGGGGGAAATAAAGTTAAGAGACCAGGCCACGCTGGCCGCCCCATTCCTCATCTGGCTTTAAAACATTCCATTTTATGTTGTAGTTTTGACAGAATGAGCAATAATCATGAATTTTGTCTTGGGCCATAAAAGAAAACTCCACTCCACTGAGGGGACCCTTTCTCTCAAGAATTCACCCGAACACATTAAATAAATGTTTCGCCCTTCTTTCCTGGTGTCCTTCTCGGCTGCTCCCTTTTTTGTTTTGTTTTGCTTTCTTTTTTTTTTGTTTGATAGGGTGACAGCTTTAAAAAGGACAAACGTTGCTCTGTTTTATTTTTAGCGGACATCGTTTTTTGGTCATTTTATTTAGTGACCTCTTGGCCAGTCTCCGCCTCTTCGATCCCTTTGTTTGTCGGTCAAGATTAGGAGGCATTTGCGGTCACGTTATTGCCCACTGATTAGGACGGGGACAAAGGGAAGTTAACTGCCTCACACGTAGCCTTTTCCCCAGCCCACTTTTTGGCCAGGAGGTCCTAACGAGCTTTTCACTTCATTTTAGTTGCCTGCCCTGCCCCCAGGGGGAAAGTATCTCGAGGCCTGGCCCACGGACGACATTCTGCAATTCAATTTTGAGACCAGCTGACAGCATACTTATGCAACTCGAGGCTTCTTTGTTTTTTGAGCCCAGCCTCGCGGCAGGAAAGTCCATTACAAAATTACAAGCTCCTCGAGTCGATTGTGTGTGTGGCAATAAATACGGAATTAGAGAACATTTGCTCCGGCATATACCTTTGTGCTGCTACGTTGTTTGCCCTTTCGAACAGGCAGATGGATCCTACCCGGAAACGGCAAATGGAAGCCCAAATAAAACCCACTCGCAACTGCAGGCAGGCAGGCAGGAAAACACTTTGCTCCTCTTTCGGCTCAATGCACAACACTCACTAAAATTTAATAAATAAAAAATGATATTTATATTGCTTTATAGCCTTGTTTTTCCCACTGTTCCACCGTTGTTCTGGTGTCCCTTGTCTGTGTGCGCTTTGTGGTTTTTGTTTGGGAGAAACATTTTGATGAAATATTTTTTACACACTCATATCAAGTATATAAATTCCCATATTTCTATATGAATATGTGCCCACTGCATACAGGCACTTGCATTTCGCATATCACCCTGCGTTTTTATAAATGAGCAGACAGCGATGGCTGTGAGCGACAGGTAACAGACATTGATGGCAGCGTGAAGGTATATATTTTGCAGTGGAAATTAAAGGAGGCGAGTTAAGCAATTCAGAAATTCTATATGGGACTCTGATATCTTGCACGCGTCACTCATAAACTAGGAGGAGTTCTGAAGTCTGTGTGAAAATGTATCCTAATTAAGAAATATTACACATTCAGCTAATTATTAATTGCATAAACTCAACCAAAACCGAATAAGTGAGGTAGTAGGGAAATAATAAATCTAAGTAATATTGCCTGCTACTTTCAAGGTAAATGTATGATAAATTACTCATACGCCCCGTTAAACGTTTACCCTCCGTACTTGTACAAACATTGGGCTTATGAAAAATTTGTTCACCAAAAATAAATTGACTGTGACACATCCAAACTCTTTAAAGCAATCCTCACGTTCCCATCCCCAATGAGAGATTTTGTTGGCCATATCACTTATACGCCATGGTGACGCAATATTTGTTTGGTTTGCTGCGCTCCCAGTGGCCTTGCCTTTTGGCCAGGGCCAATGAAAATCGCAGAGGCAGAAGAGGCAAAAAATATAAAATATAAAAAATATATGTATATCCCCACAGCCATCCACGAACGTAAATCAAACATTTCTGGTTAGACATTAGACATTAAAGAAGCAGGGGCGAAAATTTACAGCGCTTGTTGAGTCGATCCATTCGCAGAGGTTAATCGGGTTAATCCAGTCGGGCATCGGGTTAGGTTCCATCACTGGAGCTGGCTCCGGATCGGATTGAATCGGATCGGATGACTTACCACACTTGATGCTCGGCTCGCGCTTTATGGACGCTTTGCGCAGGGTCTTGGTCGTGAACTCGGGCTTGGGCTCCTCTTTTGGCTCCTTGAGGAGCTCATCGATTTTGGGTACCTTCTTAAGCACGGGCCGGATTTTGGCCAGGTCGTCGGTGCTCTTGCTGGGCAGGGGCTTCTCCTCTCGCTTCACGTGCCGCAACTTGGGCTTCTCCATTTTAAAGCGGCGCCGCTTGTCGCGCTCCTCCTCCGTTTCGCCCTCCTCGGCCTCGTCGTCGTCCTCGGTGGCCATCTTTTTCAAGGACTTGTCCCGCTTGACCACCACGCTGCGTAACTTGGGTTTCTCCATGGTAAAACGTTGGCTCAACTCACTTTCCGGTTCCGGCTTCTTGTTGACGGTGGTGGGGCGCAGTTGTGCCGCCTTCTTCACGTGCTCGGGCACCTTCTCGTCCACGGTGGTGTCCTCTTCCTCCTCGCTCTCCTCCTCCTCGGACTCGCTCTCCTCCTCGCTTTCCTCCTCCTCCTCGGACTCGGATTCCTCTTCGGTCTCCTCCTCCTCCTCGCTCTCTTCCTCCTCGGATGAGGATTCGGGTGTTGGTGTCGGCTCCTTCTTCTTTTTAAGTGCCGAGGTGGTGGCCACTGGCTTTTTGAGCCCCACAGTGGGCGCCACTTTTTTGACTGGCTCCGGCGCTTTCTTGGTGCTCACGGGTTCCGGTGTCTTCTTGGCCGCCGTTGTGGACAGGGAAGATTTCTTCACAGGCTCCGTCACCTTTTTGGCTGGCTCGGCCACCTTTTTCGCGGCTGCAGTGGTGGTTGCTGCTGCCTTTGGCTTGGTCGCAGTGGATTTTTCCCCGTTTTCCTTGGTCGCCGGAGTTGCCGCCGTTGTCGTGGCGTTTTTCTTTGCCCATGGCGTGGTGCTGGGCTTTGTGGTGCTGGTGGTGGCAGTGGTGCCGCCGTCGTCCTTCACCCATGGTGGGCGGAATGTGGTGCGTCCGCCGGGCGCACTGCTTGCACTGCTTGTTCCCGCACGGGGCGTCACAAACGGCATTTCGTCGTCTTTGTGGGAACTGCTTGCGGTCCTCTCGACTTTTCTCGACTATTTCCTCTGGTGGTTTGTTTTTTTTTCCCGGGGTTATTGCTGTTAAATTCTCCAGGGGCCGATGTCGTCGCCCGTCTATTCGCACACTCTTTTTAAATAATTTGCCGTGAATTCTTTGCTTGTTTTTCCCGTTTCTCTTGGCGTTTCTGCTGATGAAAACACAAAACTTTGCACATTAGCACCGTCGAGGGAAGTTGTCCGAAAAAGTTCTTTCATTCAGATTTTCCGTGTTTTTTTTTCGTTTATTTTTCTATTTGTTTTTTTATATTTTTATGTTGCCTCGCCTTGATAATTCTTTTTATACGCGTATTTTTTTCTAATAGATTTTTATGTATTTTTTCTGCGCGAATTTGTTGCTGGGAATTTTATTCTTGGTCCGTTGCCGACGATGAGCAACAGCTGTTTGAGATATTTTCAATCCGATTCAATTCATTTCAATTCGTGTATATTTGGGTATGTTTCATTTTCAATGTTATTTTTAACTGAATGCGCTCATTAGCTTTGCTAGCTGCTGTTGTTGTTTCTGTTTGTGTCGCCGTATCTACTGAGCGTTAGAATGTAGGCCTTTGTGTCATAGTCATGGACAGGGACATCCATGGATACCGAACAGGATAGATATAGGAATATAGGGGGTATACGGCGAGGTTCGGAATGGGAGCCGGGACAAATGCATCAACAAATCCCAACTGAGTGGAATGCTTTTGCAGGCGTTCGCAAAAACAGGCACAGTTGCAGTCAAATGTGTAGGACGACTATAGCGGTTTAGATTACCCCAAATTACATAGCAATCTTCGAGATTAATCGATGTTCTATACCTAAAGCTGCCTATATCTCTCAGTTGATTTTCATTTGCTGAGATGTTTATGTATTAGAGAAACTTTAATGACTAAATATTTACATTACTGAAAATAAATATCCTACACATTATCGAAAACTGTTTAACAAACATATTGTACCATTTGCTAGCCTCTTTGCAATTTGTGAGCTTTTATTTATAATGAAATCACACTTGGGGCATGAATATAATTTTTATAAATCAGATATTTAATAACATTAATGGTTTCTTTTAAGGAAAAATTAAAATTCGTGGGTGCTAACCTTTTAATTTGAATAAAAAACAAATTTAAAATCATTTAGTTGTGGCCTGCAACACTAACATTTTAATTTTTTATGCAATTAGAGTAAAGGAAAATGCAATTATTTGCTTTTTCTCGGCTTTTTGCTGCGTATTTATAAAGACCTCATTTCTCGGAAAATGTAAACAACAATTTGCAACTTTTCCTTTCCTAATTGGGAAAAAGGAAGACGAAAAATGCGCCTTGCAGACCACTGCAACTCTCGACGATGACCACTACTATCTTGACCGCAACTGTGCTGCGTGAGTGTCCAGCTAAACGCCTGCGTATGTGTGTGTCCGTTCGTACATATGCACTCCAATAAACAGCACAAACAACAACAATGCCCCAGTGTACGGGAATAGAGCAACAAAAACAATAACAGAAACGATTTGCTCTGCCACTGGCTGCGATATGTAAAAGGCGAAAATATTTAATTTTAGGTTCTTTGTGCCGCCGAGAGTGGAAAAAAGTGGAAAAAAAAAGTGGGGGGAAAAAGTGAGGAAAAAAGTGAAAGAGACAGGCGGCGAGAGAACTGCCCAAGTGGGAGAGACAAAACGGAACCAAATCGAAAGAATAAAAGGAAACACATCTCTGGCGCTTTCGTCTTTCGCCTTTTTTTTTTTTTTTTGTTGGTATTCCATCCATCCATTTTGTTTTGTTTTTATTGTTGCTTTTGTTTTTATTCAACTGGCTCGTTTCACAAAGTAGACAGCAAAACGTACACAAAATTGGGTGTGTGGTGGAAAAAAAGGGCAAAAAAATAGGGGGTGGTGGAGTGTAGGATCTCTCGAGGAGGCAGAATGAAATCCAAATTCGTTTCATTCCATTGCCATTCCATGGCCGGTCCCAAAAACCAACCATCCACCCCACCGGCCGAACCCCCCATATTCATTTCAATTCCTCTCGTTCGGGGCGATTGCAAATTTTTTGGCCGGAGCGACGAACACTTTCTCGGTCTTTCCTGCATGGAGGCGTTAATTAAACATGACATGCAAATAAAAATTATACTTAGAAGTACAGTCAGACTTCTGTAGCGAAAACCGCCATCAAAGGAATTTTCCGAAATATTAGACAATGTGTTGTCAAAACTCAATTAAAATTTAATTTCTCCATTTTGCTTTAAATGCGTTCTAACCTGTTTCCACTTATAAGTTTTTATCGATATTTATCGAATTAAAAATCGTTCAAATTGAAAGACAAATAAATGGTTTCTAATAGTTAAAATGGTTTCCTAACTTGGGAATTCATACCGAACTTATTTTCATTTTGTTAAATTAAGTACCATCATTTAATTAGTTAAAAGACCCTAAACAAATGACTAGTGTGTAATATTGGTTATCTCCTGACAAACAAAAATGGTATAGGAATGTAAGACTGTATTCCAAAAATTGTCAGGGACATCAGAGAAGAGTAAAGCAGAGGCAAGGACAAAAAGAATGAAATTTCAATTAAAATTGTTAACGAGTCTGGCTAATTTGACTCGAAAGTTGAGAGGAAACGTGTTCGGAATGGCAACTAACAGCTAATGCCCGGCCATATTTCATCCTAAGATTGCCTGTCAACAAAAGTGTTTAAAAATATCGCCCGGTATATTTTGGGAACACCAAAGCCCATTCATAACGCCCCTCCAGAGAGATTTATTAGATCGATTGGCCAGTGACAAGAGCGCTTTCGCAAAGTTCTGCGCATTTCGCGGCCCAAATGTACACGAATATGTGGCGGTGCTATATTTTTGGATATTTCACGGATTTTTCAGAATTTTATTATGTGTATTAATTGGTTCATTCGCTCGCTGCAGTTTGCGTTGCACGTTCGCGTAGTTGTACTATATATTGGAGATATATATGTATTTTATATATATTTGAACTATATATGTGTGGTGGTTGGGTCAGACACCCGAACACCCGCACACCACCACAACCGCAAACACCAAACACAAGCACACGGACACAGAGAGTGAATTTTCAGCAGCGGAGGCAGCAGCGCCTATGACGGCGTTTCAAAAACTAAATTCATACATTTTCCAACGGCACGGCGATGCCTGAAAATTTTTAAAATTTTCCCACTCGCTCTGGGAACACATATACCTCTCTCTCTTGGGATTCCTCTCATTATCTCGGGGAGAACGAAATCAAGTGAAATGAAAATTTTGTTGACCGACAGAGGAATATTTTTAGCATCTTTTTTCGATTTTGCGGCTCGGGGGAGGGGGTTGGGTGATATAGCGGATACGATTGACCTTACGACAGGTGCAGTTCAATGGAATTATTAATAACCCGCCTCAAGGATACAGCTCCCCCTTTGGTTTCCCCTCTGTTTCGAGCCCCTCGTTATCCGCTCATTAGGCGCCTCTTATCAGACTCCTCACATTCAATGGGGCACAATTACGCAAGTTTCCCCAGCGGCGTGGGTGTCGCAGCTAATTTCAGGGGAAGTGGGTGGATGGGACGTCTTACCCTGTGATAAAAACCACTCGTCTAGAAAGTCCAAACCCATTAGTGCTTCTGTTCGACGGTCTGTCCGGTCCCAATGCGTAACTTCTCTCCGATTCGCTTTCAATATTTACATTGTCTACTAAGTGGTTGCTCCCGCGTTTCACTCAATTGTGGTTGACATTTCGGGGGAGCGGTGCAATCGATCGATCGATCGGTCGGACAGTGCGTGGCTGTATAATTGGTCTCAATGATCGCATATCGATTGGACTAGGGCTAGACTGATTAAGTTGTCATGTCAGTTTTGTGTTGATTGGTTAATCACCAGATGAGATATGAATACCTGATATGATATATTTTGTTATAATACACTGATTAAACAAGTTTCATATTAAATCATAGTAAATCTATGATTCAATTTCCAGTGTTCAGATAACTTAATTAAATTGGTACCCTTCGGGTGTCCCTATCAATCAAAGTGGTAAAAACTGATAAAAAGTAACTTATATATCGCTGAAATCAATCAAATTACTCCAGCAGAGCGAAAACAAATGGTTAAAGCGAATGTCACTGCCACAAATATTTGTTTAACTTGCAATGTTCGTTATCAAAAGTATGTTTTTAAAATGTTTTTTAAAGCTTCGCCTGAAAGCACGCCACTTATTTTTTTGCCTTGTCAGCATCAGCCGAAAAGCATGCCAAATTAAACAGCAAATATTCCCACGCCCCCACGACAGTGGAAATTTTCGCTTTGCAACCATTTGAAATGTTTTTTTTGCTAGCAACCGACCCGTCTAACAGATTTTCCCAAATTTTAATTACGTATTTATTTATTTCATAAAGTACACCGCATATGTTTGGTGGACTTTAAAAATCGGCTTAAAGGTGATTGCATTCTGGTCTGGAATTTCAATATGCGACATCCCCTGAGGCTTTATTAATTCATCAGTTGGACCTAGAAACGTTTTTTCCGCATGTGTGGAATGGGGTTTATGGACCCCCTCCCCCAACGACCCCCATGGCGAGCCAATGTCAAATGGTTGGAAAAACCTTTCGAATTGCGGGGTCGCCGACATTTTCAGCGTCGCGTGTCGACCAAAAACTTGTGCCATCGAAATCGAATTTGACACAAATTAATTGCTATTTGATTTGACAAGTGCGAATGTGGGGCGGGGAATACGAGTCGACTGTGTGGCTGGATACAAATAGCCACAGTGTGGGAGTTATGTTTAAGTGTTATCATCTAGAAATTGCTTTATTTGTGAAATGTTCGAAGAGACATCTAATGAATACTGAATGAACTCCTTGGCGTTGTGCGGGGAGCCGAGCTCGTTGTGGCTTCTCTTAAACTGCTTTTGCGAGGGATGAGGGTCTGGGTGCCCAGACCTTAACTAGACCTTGGGCGCAGCTGGCGGGGATTGAGATGCCGCCGGAGGATGGGCTGGCATGTGAACGTGGGGTTCAACTGGGGCAGGAGTGATGGCCTCGGTGGCGTTTAGTTGGGTGAAGTGCGACCAAGTATTAATCTCGGCGAACAGCCTGTCCCCGGGACACTCGGTATCCCGCACCTGTCTGTGACCCAGCAGCTTGTAGGCGGGGTCAATGTAACCCTTGAAGACCCCGAAGGCAATCAGGTTCTTGGCCGCATCCAGCATCTGTTTGGGTGGCAGTTCAGCTAGCACGAGAAAAAGGGGAACAGGCCATTATTAAAGAGTTTAAATATTTTATTATTAAAGAAAGAGTTGTAATTCTTCCTTAAAGAAAACCACATCTTTCTGTAAACTATTAAATCATATTCTTTGTACTCACTTCTCCAATCTCCGATCAGCACGATGCCCACACTCTTGTCATTGTATCTGGGGGCATGAGCTCCGATAACATTGAATCCCCTTCCGGTATAGATCATTCCATCGCCGCCGATCCCGAAGCTATAACCAATATCATTCCAGCCGCGCTCCAGTTGGTGAAAGTCCTGCATGTCCCGCATGCTCTTCATGCAGTCCGGCGTGCTGTAGCATACCGCTGGCATATATGAGTGGTGGATGATCACGTAGGGGGCGGGACCTTCGAAGTGCTCCACGGATTTGGGAAAGCGGGCGCCCCAGTCGGACCGGGAGATAAGTCGAGCGGTGGCCACTCCATCTCCGATATTCGCCTCCTGCATGTGCTGGCTATAGCCTGGAAATAAAGATATAGGGAACTTGGATTAGTAAGGTTTAGGATGGTATTACATTAGAAGTTGTTGCAATAGGCTTTCGTAATATCTGTATCATCAGAAGCAATATAAAACCACTTTATAGTTCTAATATATTACATTGTTAAAGCATTGTAGCTCTAAAGCAATCTATAATATATTCCAAAATCTTATGTATTTCGATGACTGTTAAGGTACATCCCCACATGGAAAGTTTGGTTTTCAAAGTTTGTTTTGGTGTGAACTGTTTGTTTACATTAATTCTCGTGCATTATTTAAAATGGCGTAAACAAGTTCAATTTTAACTTTTGCCATGAGTTATATCTGGTACGAAAGACTCTGGCACTTCCAAGACAGTCAAAATATGTCGGCCTTAATTGCAAAGGGGGGCGTGTGAGTGTGAAAAGGAGGGGCGTGTGGTCTGCGGTAGTGCTACCGTGCATCGCTCACATTCCATTGATAAATGATAGCCGGGTTCCCCACGCGGCGCTGCTGTCTGCGGATTTCTGCGGCGGTGGCTGCGGTTCCGACGACCCACGATTTTCAACTGACAAGCCGCGACTCCCCAGTTCCGCTAAAAATCCCCGTTACGAGCCGAAAGAAACAAGTTGCCGATCGGCAACGATTGGCAACAGCGATCGTCATCAGCAATATGCTAAACTGCCAATTTGATGGGTGATTTTTATTTGATTTCGCGTCTACAGATATGTATTTATTCGATATTCCAGGGTAAAAAAGAGGGTTATTGGTTAGATATTTAGGTAGAGATAAAATTTTATTTTTATATGAGAGCTTGTATATTCTTCTTACCAATTAGCCAGAATATTCACCATTAAAACAAGTATTTTTACTTTTCAAAAATAAATATTTTTGGCCAATTTCGGGCTAGCATTGTATATTGTTTTTATATCTTTTGCGCAATATTTTTCAAAGCCTCTAAAGTGGAAATAAATATTTACATTGGCTAAGAGAAAACACTGTTCCCCTTGTTTTTGGGATGAACATCAATGATATGCCACTGGTAGATTATCTTCAGATAGATGTATCTATTGGCTCAGTAGGGCATTCTCGATTCGCTTTGGCTTGGACCACATCAGCGTGACTCAGCTTTAAGTGCTCAATGCGAAATGCCTGAAAGCCAAGCCAAATGGCAGAGGAAGCCGATTCGCAACAGGTGCTACGGGTCGGGTATCATCTATCAATGGCGTGAGCGTTTTGGCCGTTGACACTGCGGGCCGGAGAAAAGGCCGGGGCCCGGTTTCAGTTCCGTTTGGCCCTGGTTCCTTACCCCGTGAGTCATAAATGCAAATGCAAACTCACATTCAAATTCAGACCCCAATCCGAAAACTATTTCATTCAAATTTTGTGTATTTGTGTATGCTGCCGGAGTTGGTGGCAAACATGAAAGTGATGTTCGGGGAGTTTGAGCCCATCGCCTTGGCTTGGTTTGCCGGCGTCTGCCAAAAACTTCGGGACAGGCCACGCCCACTGCGGGCATACGCCCCCCGGCATTTATATGCATACGGAAAACTTGGTGCGGGTGCCGATGGAAAAGCCGGAAAAGCGAAAAAGGGCGACGGAAACAGGAGACGCAGCACTTGACTAAGTTAATAGCGGCAGTTTCTAATTAAAATTTACGAAGAGCGAAAGTTGCGTGGGCACACAGTCGAGGTCAACATAATAGCAGTGTTGACATCCGGCTGAGTTGCACAAATGGCATGATATTAAAGTAATAGTTTGTTTATATGTGTGCCTTTGAAAAAAAACAAGGTCATTGTCAACAGAATTAATTAAATTCTAAAAAACTGTGTTAAACTCCCAATTGTCGTATTGTTTGTATTTCTATTTGGTTTGCGAGCTTTTAACACCCAAATATAACCACCTATTTTTTGTATGGTATTGAGGTGTATATTAAATACAATGTTTGAATAGTAGGTTGAACAGAAAATAGGGCATTTTACTGAATACTGAAACTCGGATGTTATAAAAACTGCTTTGAAGGATATCGAGTGCTGTCACTTTCTCCCCATCTGTTCGCGAGTGTCGCGCCCGCAGTTTGGCACCTATCCTGAATTCAGTTTCCTGGATCCTGGATCCTGGATCCTGGACTTCATGAGCGGCACGTGCTTGAATAATAAACAGAGCAGGAAAAAGCGGGAGTACTACAAGGATGTGCGTTATGCAAGGATATGGTGGAACTGGCAAATCGTTGGCTGTTTAATTTATGCCGCTTAGTTTCTGTAGTGTGTGTGTTACATGTTAATTACATTTATATTTACAGCCAAGCACGAAGGGCTCAAAATCAGCCCGCTCCCCTAATTGTTACCCTAATTGCGCGGCCTAATAAAGTAAACATTAAAACCCCTCGGCCTAATCAATGT